GCAGGTCTGGCCTAAGGGTTATCTTAATTTGGTTTTAATATAATTTTAACAAAAAGGCCAATAATTAATATTTTATTTTAATTACATTTTAAATTTAGTATTTTTGTATTATGTACCTGTTTTAAATGGCTGTAAGCCGCCCTGAGTCCGCTGGGAGAAGGGCGGGGTAGAAATTTAATTAATAAATAAATAAATAAATAAAAATCTGCCCTAGTGGGTCTCCTACCCAGAGTATTTTTTGTGAGCTGCAGAGTGTTAATGGAAAAGGATTGGATGGAAATCTCTTAGCAGGCAGATGGTATCTACCATAGATGGACAGAACTGGATTTTTAGTCTTAAATAAAAAAGGAACGAATGTAGGATGTTAGAAAGGAAGTTGTTCAATACAAAAATGGTCTCCAAAGCTATCTCTATAATTGGTGCTTCTTAGTGTTATATATGATCTGTGGAATATATGATCTGTGTATATTAGTATATTTTGTAATCTATTTTATGAAATCCCTTTTCTTGACCTTTTATCTTTCTGCCTACAGAATGTATGTGTTAAGTTTGTTAGTAATCTGCTTTTGTATGTTCAGGTGTCCCATAATACTTACAGTAAGCAAACTAGATGAACTAAGAGTGTTCACCCAATATTTATTCCACAAAAGCTCAAGCAGCTTGCGATCCAAAGAGGATTTGAAATAGGATACTTCTAAGGCATAATACCTGTTTCATTAAAAAAAATATGTTTATATAGAGACATACAGAACATTTTTCAAAGTAAGCTCATGAATAGTTGGTAATAAATGCTTTTATATACAAAAATATCGAGTACTATACATTAATATGATCAAGAAAAGGTGTTATTAATAAAATTTTATGAGACTCTATAAAATTAGGTAAAACTGAGGAAAGAAAGTGGACAAAAAACTGCAGAATGATATTAAAATGGCATTATATCCAGATTAATAGTGTACGTGCATGCACACAGTTGCTCAATTATAATTACAGAAAAATGGGGAGGGTGGGATGGGGACAAGCTAGTATGCTTGACACACAGGAATCATGAGCAAAATCGTCATTGAGGAAGATATTGAATGCTTTTTCATCAAAACTGTTAGAGTCAAATTTTCTACCACACCTTAGCAAATCAGATTTGCCTAGACAAAAGAGCTTCATTGAAAGCCATATCAATTATGCATATCTGTTTACTTTTTGTTCCAAAGCAAAGACATAACGCACGCACATACAACACAATATATTTGTAGGATTTGGATAATTTCAAGTAACTGTATTTTTCTTTCCAAACTGGAAAACATTGTAAAGTCTCTATATTAAAAGATAGTATCTTACTGTTTACAGTGCACTCCAAAATCTTCTATTTTATTAAGTGGGATAGTCTGATATTCAGAAGGGCCCTCATCAGGAGGTTTATAGCCCTGAAAGATAAAACATACTAATAAGGAATGGAAATATAGCAACTTCCTATCAATTAAATGTATTCATTTTTTTGTTCAATTTCTATTTCATTTGGAGGTTTATAAATTTTTAGAAAGCAGCCTGAATGGTATAATTAAAACACCGATGCACACATAGAAATTTTCACTCTACTTTTTCTGACAAGAATGTAAGGGACATACTACATTATTTTTTGTACAAAAGTTCTGCTGTAATCCACAGTTCTTGCAATTGTTCTCAGCAAAGAAAAGCTTCCATAGGTAATTTGTGACTTCTGCATTAGCCCTTGTTAGTAATTCATTGACAGTGCTTTCCCTCAAGTGCAGAAACCATATGCATCTGAAAAGGCTAAAGAGATCTATTTTTAACACAGGAAATCCTAAATTCATAAGGTAAATTTTTTATCAGCTTGTTCAATCTGACTTTTCTCTAAGGAGGACGTCTTTGCTTCTTCTGTGTAAATTTTAAAAAACTTTTGATACAGAGATGAATTTTCTAAATCAGATTAGATAACCGCAACAGAAAAAGTGAAGAACAATGAATGGTCACTTTCAGCTATGATTGTACTCACTATTCACATACCGCTGACATGTATTGGGATCACAAACAAATTATCCTGTGAAAATATTATTGAGCTCCACAATATTCTATGTAATTATCTCCTCCTGCAATATAATGCTGTATTTTTGGAAGTCTGAGAATATAAATAACCATGACTACATCTAAGCAAAACTGTTTTTTTGTACTGAGATTTAAAATGAGTGGATTATCAGTTTGTTCCACTGGCAGATTGCTTTCCACCAGCAGAATGATCCCACTGTATCCAACTGTTTAACAACTGATTCAAGCTGTGTAATGTTTGTCATTTGTTTAGTTAATTCCAATTTTATGTTATATAACTTTGATGACAGTGTTGTTACCTTAGGATATGTCCTAAAAGCTCCAAGATTTACTTTTCCTGCAGATATTGTCCTTGTTGGATCAATCTGTAAAAAGTATTCAAAGTTAACATATACAATACCTTCCTAAAAAGCAATTAAACATTATTCTTACATATAATTTATGATTTTATTTTGCAATCACATATGAGTTATTTTAGGGACTTCCCATCTCTGCTAAACCTTTGTTTATACTTGCTATTCTGCTGCTAGACTGGCATGTGAGTACTTGTATGGTATGTATATATGGAATCTAATGCCTGGTTTAAACTACATACAGACAGACATATTCTTCCAGCATTAGTAAGTAATTTTAACAAACACTGTGCTAAGCTGCATACAATCAGTTTGAAGTTTCTAGTTCTTATACTAATTTAACTTGAAACGCTCCACTTAATTTTTAGAAAAACATTAAGATGAGCACATAAAAACCCAGCAAGCAGTAACCACCCCCAAAACCTCTTCACAAAATACTGCAGAAATTAGCTCTCAAACATTTTTTTAGTGTTTAGTTCATAAATATTATACTCACAACCACAGCTACAAAAGGTTCTTGAAATTGTTGATTAAGCATCTGTGTACTGACATCAATTCCTGAAAGCCAGCAACCATAGCCAGGATGGCTGTGATACCAGCCAATTGCATTTTCTAGACGACCAACCTAACCAAAAGCGAAAGAAGGGAGAGGAAAGAAAGCACATTGTTCAAAAGACATTTAATTAATATAACCGCTCCAGATTTTTGGATTGTTGGCAAATTGCAGATTTTATTCTATACAAAATATTCAGAATCACAATATAATATACTGTAAATATACAAATAGTCCTCAACTTAACCATTCGGTAATAACTACTGTATTTGAAGTTATGACGATACTTAAAAAAGTGACTTATGACCAATCCTCAGATGACTATCATGGTGTCTTTGTGGTGAAGTGATCAAAATTCTGGTGCTTGGCAATTGGCATTTATTTACAACTGTTGCAGCATCCTGGTTTCACACGATCATCATCTGCAACCTTTCCAGGTTTCTGACAAGCAAAAGTCAATGGGGG